CAGGACCGCACGTGGAGTGGATTCGATATGGGTAGTGGTGGATCGGTTGACGAAGAGTGCCCATTTTATCCCGATCCAGGAGAGTATATCGGCGGAAAAGTTAGCCGATATCTATGTGCGAGAGATTGTGGCACGTCATGGAGTGCCGGTATCGGTGGTGTCGGACCGGGATGTTCGCTTCACGTCCAGATTCTGGAAGCGATTCCACGACGAGATGGGTACTCGTCTCCATTTCAGCACCGCTTTTCATCCTCAGACTGACGGGCAGAGCGAGAGGACGATTCAGACTCTCGAGGACATGCTTAGGGCATGTGTTTTAGATTTTGGGGGCAGTTGGGATACGTATCTTCCCTTAGCAGAATTCTCGTATAACAACAGCTATCATGCGAGCATTGATCGACCTCCTTTTGAGATGTTATATGGCAGGAAGTGCAGGACCCCGATTTGTTGGGGCGAGGTCGGTCAGCGGTCATGGGGAGCACTGAAGTGGTGCTCAAGACGACGGAATTGATCCAGCAGGTCCGTAGTAGACTGCAGACTGCGCAGAGTCGGCAGAAGAGCTACGCCGACAGGAGGCGTTCAGACTTGGAGTTCCAGGTGGGAGACATGGTTCTTCTGAAAGTCTCACCTTGGAAAGGTGTCATCAGGTTCCGGAAGAGGGGCAAATTGGGCCCCAGATTTATTGGTCCTTTCAGGGTTTTGGCCCGGGTGGGTCGGGTTGCGTACCGGTTAGATCTTCCTGAGGAGCTCAGTTTGATACACACACCTTCCACGTATCGCAGTTGAGGAAGTGTTTAGTGGACGAGACAGCAGTCGTTCCCTTGGAGGACATCCAGGTTGATAGCAGCCTGAATTATATCGAGAAGCCGATCGCAATTCTGGAACGGAAGACCAAGACCTTGAGGAACAAGGTAATTCAGCTGGTAAAGGTGCAGTGGCAGCACCGGAAGGGGTCTGAATGGACATGGGAGACTGAAGAAGAAATGAGAACGCACTACCCGGAGTTATTCGCAGATCCAGCCGTTGCAGACTTCGAGGACGAAGTCTGAATCAAGTGGGGGAGAATTGTAACGACCCGTTCTCGGTATGTTAATAAATTGTCAATTGTCTAAGTTTTCAAGAGGGACTCGGCGAGTTCTAGCCTGACTCGCCGAGTTGGGTCGCGTATTTGTGCACGCGGAGCCGGGACTCGGCGAGTCCATATCCCGGACTCGGCGAGTCCGTCCGTCTGGGTGAAACCCTAAATCCCCGGGTTTGCCCACTATTTAAACCCCATTATAGCCTCATTCTCGCCACTTTCACCCTGAGAGCTCTGTGAGAAACCCTAATCCTCCCATTTGAGAGCTTATAAGTGATTTAGTGCCATTTTTGTGAAGGTGTGAAGAAGGAGAAGAAGAAGGAAGCAAGGAAACGAGTTGTAGTGCAAAGATCCAAGGTCAAATCTGAGTTTATTGAGGTATTTTCGGAGTTCCCTTCTGGTTATATGCTTAAACTTCCATTAGAGCTCTTTTAAGAGCTATTTGATGTTTGTTCCAAGCTTTATGTTTGCATGAATGTCTTAATAAGTCGAAATACCTTTGGATCTGAGTGTTGGGGTGTTGTAGAGCCCAGATCTACTGTCTTTTTGATGTTACATTGCATATTAGCCATGGATCTACTCTTGTTGTGCATCTTTTAGCCTTATTTCCCTTATTCATGAGGTTGTGCACGTATGTTGTGCACGTAAAGTTGGAAACTTTACGTGGTAACACAGCTTATTGGACCCAGATCTATCATTTGCATGTGTTGGATTCAAGAGAAATCGAGTAAAAATCTGTTGCATGGCGGCGACTCGGCGAGTCGGAAGAACGACTCGACGAGTCGGGTCGCGAGTCCCGAGTTCTCAGTTTCATCAGTGTCGAGTGGACGAGGTGAGTTAGGGAGTGGACTCAGCGAGTTGAGAGTAGACTCAGTGATGGAGGGACTCGGCGAGTTTGTTCATACAACTCGGCGAGTCCAAGGCAATCTTCTTGGGGATCAAGAACAACTCGTCGAGTCTGTTCATCCGACTCGGCGAGTCGGATGAAGATCATCTGAGTTCTTGGATCCAGAGGGCACTCGTCGAGTCGATGCCACACTCGACGAGTATCAGCGTGTAAGAGTTGAGAGGAGAGTCTAGGACTCGGCGAGTTGGGTATCCCGACTCGGCGAGTCAGCCCTGAGTAAGTTGACTTTGACCAAGGGTAAAAGAGTCATTTTACCCCGAGTGTAGTGTTAGTGATTGATTGAGTGTGTTTATGGATTTGTAGCCGAGGAGATTCAGGAGCAGCAGCCGTTAGCTTTCCGAGCCACACACTCATCCGCTAGCTTACGAGGTGAGTTTCCTTCCAGTAGGACGGGTCTAAGGCCACAATGCCGGCCCGTTCAGTTAGCAGTAGTTTCCGGACTTAGGTCCGATGCAGTAGTTAGTATGTTGATGCCTTCGTGGCTCAACAGGATTTGTGTGCTATGTTTATGTGTTAAGTATTATGTGTTCCGGGCTACGGCCCGATGTAGCATGTCATATGTGTTATGCTAGTTGATGTGTTATGCTATGCCATGTTCAGTCAGTTAGTTCCGGACTTCGGTCCGATGCAGTTAGTTCCGGACTTCGGTCCGATGCAGGGGACAGGTCCCAGTCAGTTCCGGACTTCGGTCCGATGCAGTTAGTTCCGGACTTCGGTCCGATGCAGGGGACAAGTCCCAGTTGGTTCCACTTCGGTCCGATGCAGTCAGTTCCGGACTTCGGTCCGATGCAGTTAGTTCTGGACTTCGGTCCGATGCAGGGGACAAGGTCCCAATCAGTTACGGACTTCGGTCCGATGCAGTTTCCGGGCTTCGGCCCGATGCAGTGGGCAAGGCCCAATATGTGTTTATATGTTATTGTATGGTATGTGGTAGTTTGGGGGAGCTCACTAAGCTTCGTGCTTACAGTTTCAGTTTTGGTTTCAGGTACTTCCGCAAGCAAAGGGAAGAGCTCGGGGTGACGGCATCGCACACACCACCGCCTCAGCTTCAGTCTGGGATTGATTTAGTTGTTGATTTGATGTAGTATGATACAGTTTCCGCACAGTACTTTATTATATTTTGGGACATATCACGCATGGTTTATTTATATGGTACTCTGATTATAGTTTTGATTATATTAAAAACAAAATTTTTGGGTCGTATTTTTGGTCGTTTCAAAATGGCTAAATTCGAGTTCTATTTATAGGCTGCTGGGTCTGGGATTACGCGGGGCGTACTCAAATTACGCGGGGCGTACTCAAATTACGCGGGGCGTACTTTGACGTCACTGCGTGCGTCGACTGGTGGCACTCGAGTATTGGTCAGACAAGTTGCATCCGACTGAGTACGCGGGGCGTACTCAAATTACGCGGGGCGTAATTGACTTGTCAAACTTCTAAATTGCGTAACTTTCGCATACGAGCTCCGTTTTCGACGTTCTTTATATCCACGCGAAGGTCAGACCATACTCTAAACTTTCATTTAGACTCCGTCGGCAAATTTTGACTTTTATTTTTATTATTTATTTTTAGAAGGCCGGGACAGAAAAACTTCGTTATAAATTCATAACTTCTTCGTCTGACGTCCGTTCTCGCCTAACTTTTCATTGCTTCGCTACTAACAACAAGATCTTCGATTCTCATTTAGATTGTTTCGGCTAAAAACCGCTCGATCTCAAATCGAGTATTCGGGCTGCATATTGCTAAGTCGAAACTTAGAAAAATCATAACTTCCTCATACGAAGTCAGATTTGGGCGTTCCTTTTATGCACGCTCTCGGTTTAACGAAATTTACGACTTTCGTTTAGATCGCTAAGGCTAAATATCGCTCTATCTTAAATTCATATTTTACATCACTCATCGTCATACCGGTTCTGTCTCGAAATTTCGACAGGTCATAACTTCTTCGTTATAACTCGGATTTTGGCATTCCTTATATCTCCGGAATCCTTGTTTCGACCACTACAACTTTATGCAAAGATGTCGGGCTTATCTCACACTTAAATTTTGACGCTTATTTTATTCTTAATTCATTAAATTATAAAAATTAAGAAAATACACACATAAATCACATAATTCAAATAATTCACAAATAATACATTCTTATTATTTCAAGTTGAGTTACAAGGTTAACCTAGACTATTACATTGCTAAAAATGGCAAGCCTAGAAACACGGGCGTTACACAATGACACTTCAATGAACCACTACTTAGACCGGATTAAAGATGACAAAGCAAAAGATGGAGGTACTAAACGTGAATACTTAATGATGATGATATGGACTTATTCTTGTTTGATGACTTATTAGTTGATAACGACGAGGATGATGAGGTTGTTGAGTTGAAGAAGTGTGTTATTTCCTTTTTTTAGTAACATAGGTTTTATTTCAATACCACATATAGTCGATGATAATGATAAAGGAGATGATCACAACACTAAAGCCCTAGTTATCAATATTGTGATCAAAATCATAAATATGATACCTTAGTACCCATCAATGGTATGAGATTTTGTAACCCAAAAGAACATAAGTTATTGTTAAGCAATTATACGGTTGGATATAACCTAGGTATGAAAAAATTGACTCAACAAGATTATTAATTAGGTTATAATAGGACCTTCGGTTTTAGGTTAATTTTCGCATATTCATGTATATGAAATCAAACAATTATTCGTTACATTTTGAAAACCCAAAATGAGTTACAAAAAATGAAATTTGAAGTTGTAAACAAATTCAACATCAATTTTAGTGTTAGGCAGTGTAGAAATGCAAAGAAATATGAATTAAATGAGATTGAATTCACATTATGAAAAATTAAGAAGTTATGGTGAGGATATTTGAAGGTCTAATCTAGGTTTAACGATTTCAATAAATGTAGATATTGTGTTTGATTAGTTATTTTTTAAAGATATATGTTTGTTGGGAGGGTGTAAATGATGATTGATTGAAGGATGTAGAAGAGTTATTGGTATCAATGTCTATTTTTAAAGGCGTTTGCAGAGGGGAGGTATTGTTGGTCGTTGGAAAAGACTCTAACAACTAACAACCAGATGTACCCTCTTATTTGGGATGTAGTAGTAGTTGAAAATAAGTAAAATTGAAAGTGGTCTTTAGACCTCCTACTTGAAGATGGAAAATAAAAAAGGGCTAACCCTAATTTCATACCAGCACAAGGTGGTGTTGGGCTTATTTTGAAAATAATGGGTGTTGTGATGCCATTTCAGAATCTTTCAATGCAACAATTTTAGATGCCATGAAGAAATCCATTTGAACATTGTTCATAAACCAAGTCGTTAAGGTTGTTTAGTTTCGATACATACAAGTAGAGTGTTTCCTTATTAGTCAAAACAATCACGATCAAATGTTTTTTCATGAGACATGTGTTGAGGGAGACGAGATCACAAGAACATTGTCATGTTTAAAATACTAAAATCTTCTTATGTGCAAGGCACGCAAAGGGGCATAAGTGTGGTTAAGACAATGGATCAAACCCGTTACAAAAAATTTAAATGGAGATCATATATGCAATATATAAATGTCATGGACTAAACCTGATACTTTTGACAAACCAAAGAGAGAAACGTGTGATGTTAATAATAGGCGCACCAAAATTTTTAAGTGCAGCAACCAAGATCGCAGTATCTTCCCCAATCTTATTGGGTCGATTGCGATTCATCGTAGAGAATCTCGAATTGGTCACATTGTCGGATTCATCCTGTTTATAAGCCTGTGTGAGATTAGATTCAGATCCCATTGCCAAACCCAGCCCTAATTTTCCTCATTTCGCAAGATTCTCTCCGATCTTTTCATAACCTCCGAAAGTTTTTAACCTCAGTTGACTCCCAACCCTAATCTTTTTGATTATTCCATAGCTTTAATCGTTGATTTCAAGATACGTTAATGCTGATATTCAGCCGTTGATTACTCTTATACCCACTTGGTAATTTTCTATCCTTTTCTTTTTATATGCTTTTAAACTCCTTTAATGGACGCCCATACTCTCATGTTTTGACCATCGTCATGTCCGTTTTTTCTCCAAGGTTAGGTAACTCTTTCAAATTTCAAAGATTTAATATCCATTTGTTGACTTCTTATTGCTATTTCAGATCTGATTCTTTGAGGTTTGGAATAACCGATTAGTGGCTCCTTCTCTTTCTGTTCATCCAATATTCTTCAAAGGTACGCTTTCGATCCCTAAGCACAAGTCTTTTGATTCTTTTAACTAAATCGTTCAATTACTTTATCATCTGTATGTTCATAGACAACGACCTGTAATTAAATCGATGGCTGAATTCACGTATCAGATCCAAATCCAATCCTTAATCTCGATGCAAAATTCAATTTTGACCATGAAAAGTCAACTACTTTTCCTAAATTCAAAATCAAATCATAGTTCTTGTATAAACTTGCAGATGACAGACGTAGCGAAGGATTTAACAGCAGGAACAATAGGAGGGGCATCACAGTTGATAGTCGGACACCCATTTGACACCATCAAGGTCAAACTCCAAAGTCAACCGGTCCCACCACCCGGTCAACGCCCTAAATATTCAGGCGCCATAGATGCTGTTAAACAAACAGTAGCAGCAGAAGGCCCACGAGGCCTATACAAAGGCATGGGCGCCCCTCTTGCTACTGTTGCTGCATTAAATGCAGTTCTGTTCACGGTTAGGGGTCAAATGGAAGCCCTTTTGCGGTCTGAACCCGGGACACCCCTAACCGTGAACCAGCAGGTGGTGGCTGGAGCCGGGGCTGGAGTTGCAGTCGCTGTTCTAGCCACCCCTACTGAACTAATCAAGTGCAGGTTAGTCCTTTTTACAAGAACTAACAATGTACATTGATTATTAATTTTCTTATTATAAAAAGAATTGAAAATAGGAATCTATTTTCACAGACTGCAGGCCCAAGGAGCAGCAGTCACCGGACCAGGGGCGGCAGTAACTGCCGCCATAAAATACAGCGGCCCAATGGATGTAGCAAAGCAAGTTTTAAGATCCGAAGGCGGCATAAAAGGTCTTTTCAAAGGTTTAATCCCGACAATGGGGCGGGAAGTCCCGGGAAATGCCGCCATGTTTGGTGTCTACGAAGCCCTAAAACAATACTTCGCCGGAGGAATCGACACCTCCAGCCTTGATCGTGGTTCGCTGATAGTCGCTGGAGGTTTGGCCGGAGGTGCATTTTGGGTTTCGGTTTACCCTACGGATGTGATCAAGAGTGCAATACAAATTGATGATTATAGAAACCCTAAATATTCGGGTTCAATTGATGCTTTTAAGAAGATTGTGAAAGCGGAAGGAGTTGGAGGTTTGTATAAAGGGTTTGGACCCGCGATGGCTAGAAGTGTACCCGCTAATGCCGCTTGTTTTTTGGCGTATGAGGGTGTGAGATCAAGTTTGGGTTGATTTTTAAAGGTTTAAGAACATTGTTTTAATAAAAGGGTTTACAATTTTTTTTTTAACATTGATCATGAAAGAGTAGTTTTGTTTATTGATTTTGAGGTTGCCCTTTAACTTTTGGTTGATGAAAGGAATCGTGAAGGATTTTGAGATAGTTTGTTTTTGTTGGTTTGTATTTCTCAAATTAGAAATCCCCATGCTTGTGGTTATAGCCACTGCGGTTTCTAGTTTGATTCTAAAATAATTGAAAGCATCTACATTCTACATATTATCTATGTATAATATAAAATAAAGAAAACTATAAAAATGGTTCTTGAAGTATAGTAATTTTTGTATGGTTTTAGTTGTGGATTTGATATCTAAAATTAACATCCAATTGGTTTGGTCTTTATAACGCCTCGAACACCGCCCCAACTTTGCGTTAAGGGGTCTTCTGTGGCTATGGTAACAGCCAGCAACACGTCATTCATCATTTTCAATGTTTTCGGTCAAAATCGACCATTTATGAACAGTCAAAAAGAAAAAGAAAATTAAAAATACTTATTACCTTTTCACATATAAATACCCATATATACACAAAAATTACTACACCATTCTTCTATTTCTTATTCAATTTATTTCCTCACTTATTTCCTCACTTGGTGTTATAACACCATATATGGCTCGACATGTGAAGTGACAACTTTTGGGTATGATAATATCCTTTAACATGTTGCCTAGACCCACTAACCTAAACCCAAAACCAAAAATACTTCGTAATCCAATGTAGCCTACCCCAAACGTCACCTCTATCATAATAAACATGCAACCAATAACAAAATGCTTTCATCCCATAAATACCTATCGCTAGCCTTGGTGGTTAACAGAAATTATGAGCATATGCTTCTTTCGACCTTTAGAAGGGTTCGAGAGGGGAGTTGAAAATACTCAAGGGGAGGCCAGAGAGCATTCATTTTCTTTTGCTAGAGATAGGTATCTATGGGAGCTGGAGACGTCGGGTGATTTTATTTTTACTTCTTGTTGTTTGGTGGAGACTCTCATTACCATCTACTTCCACGGTTTTTTATTTCATTTTATGGGTTGATTCTTCTGGTAAGTCAACTCTTAACAAGTTAATAGAAGATATTTGGATGTGGTGATTATTGTCATATTTTGGTCTATTTGGAATTTCAAGAACAATCTAATTTTTGAAGCGGAGAAGCCTATGAGATTTTCGCTTTTTGATGATTTAGGGGGTGTTTGATTTAGCTTTTCAAAGCCAAAAGTCTTTTTTGGAAAAGAAAAAAAAGCAAAAGATGTTTAGCAAACTAGTTTTAGAAGCTACTTTTGAAGTTTTTAAATAAGGAAAAGCAACTTTTTGGAAAAATCAGAAATCCTGATTTTTTGTAACTTTTCCAAAAAGAACTTTTGGGGTTTGAAAAGCTAAACCAAACACCCCCTTAGTGTTCTTTTTTTATTTATTTATTTTTTATTTGCAATAGGCCTAAGAACTATAATATGCTTTAGGATCATTGGTTGTGTAATTCCCAATTAGCTACTTCATAATTTTTTCTTCTATAATGTGTTGCTAGAGTTTTCATATATTTCCACCTTTCTAAAAAAAGTAGCATGAATTATAATCTTAGTTGGTAGTAACTCATCAACAAACATACCACTACACCCAATCAATGTGTCAGAATCACTCCGTTATCAAGAAAACAAAACACAAACCTAAGACTCTCTTTCGAGCTACTCTCACACCTCCACATACCAATTAACATAGAATCATGTCAATAGCAAGCATTATCGTCATCCAAAATTGTAAATTTGGATTTTGTATACAAAATTTTTACAAAAAGTGGACCCAAAAATTCTACAATCATGCCCATAACAAACACAAAATGTCAAATTCCATATTCAACTCTGAACACCATGGTGTGTGGAGCCATTACTACAAAACCATCATCAACCACCAGCAAACTGATATTAATCCATATGAAATCATCATATTCTTAAACGAACTCAAAAGTATAAAAACTTTGTAGTTTTCAAATCCATTAAAGCATATGACATAAATAAATAAATAAATGTATAATCATAAACATTAAACAGAAAAAATATGAGCTGCAATTTGAGTACATTTTAATGGTATTGAAAACAGAAATGAATCTCCCAACATTCAACCTACATGACAAATTCAATGTTTGATGACCAGACTACATTTTCTGGTCAAGCATCTAGATTCTGGACACCTAATTAGAAATAAAAAAATAAAACTTGTTCAAGAAATACACAGATGAATACTCTTTTACAGCCAACTATATATTCTAAACAAACATTCAAAGTTTATAAACAGAAGAAAAAAAAAAAGCAACAAAAAAACACTTAGAAAAAGACTATTTTACAGCCAGTGTACCTTAAGTTAAGTTGCTGTAACGATGAATCCATACACAGTTAGCATCTTATCATCCATCTTTATCTAATCCCTCCATCTGGGACTTTGAATTGAGAAAAAACCTGGAGATGGAAACCCCATGCCGGGAGAAGGTGGAGGTGGTGGTCCAGGTCCTAACACTCCTGGTTGAGTCATGGGTGAGAATGAAAAATTCGGTGTTAATGGTGGAGGATGCTGATAACCAGGAGAAAGTAAAGGGTATGGTGATCGAGGAGACAATAAGTTTAAGTAACCAGATGGAGATGGAAGAAGAAACTGAGAAGTTGGTGATGGTAAAAGTGGTGGAGGACCGTTCATGTTCATTCTCGGTGACGGAAGAGGTGGAGGTCCGTTCATCCGGGGAGATGGAAGAGGTGGAGCTCCATTGTTCATCCGAGGAGATGGAAGTGGATACGGAAGCAATCCCTGTTGCTGATGTTGACCTTGAGGATTTTGTTGGTATTGAGGATGAGGGGGTTGTTGTTGTTGATGATGTTGTTGATGTTGTTGATTTCCTTGACCTTGACCTTGAGTTGAATCTATGATGGAATGCTGAAGGTAACGCATATAAGCAGAGATAGGAGACTCGGCTGTGTTTGGCCACCCTGTATGATCACCGGAAGCCATGGGTGGTGGTTGTGGCATACCTGGTGGTGGTCGTTGTTGACCATGGTGGGCAGGTCTAGCATAATTACCGTTATAAGGAGGCGCGCCAAGCACTGCACCATTTGGTGGACGAAGCGGAGGCATCTGGGAGCGAGACATCTGTTCTTGTCCCATATGATGAATGGGAATGGGCATTCTAGGGCGGTTTACATTAAGCGGAGCTAATGGTGATGGCCGGATTCTTTGCAACCGCATGCTAGGTGGTTTAGGTGAGTTCTGCGGAGGTCTCGGAAGTGGCTCCTGGGAATTCCGGGAAGGTGAACCGGTGAGCTGCTGAACAATACTCTGAAAATCGTTCTTGTTGATGTTGTATACTTGAGGTTGAGGTTGTTGTCTCGCCGGATTCGCGAAAGTTGGTTGGTGTAATGGACTTTTCCTGATCGCTTTCCCAATTTTGTTAACACCTAAATGCTCATTGTTCCGATTCCTCGAATAATCAGAATTATCCATTTTGATCCAATTTTCAAACACAAAAAAACCCTAAGAATCTCAGGCGATTTCAATTCCACACGTAATTCCCAAATTTTCAACTTGACAACTTCAAAAATAAATCAAAGCGAGGAAATGAAATGAACACACCTTTGGATCAAATCGACTTCAACACCTAACAAAATCCTTTGTTATACAGAAACCCTAAGCGCTTAATTAGGGTTCCACGAGCACTTTGACTGTAGTTGCATAAGAGAAATAGAGAATTATCAATTGTAACTTGACTTCCGATGGCGAAGAAGAATTGCGTAAGATTTGAATCGGTCTCCGATTATTTTCTTTAAAAGCAATCGAGTAGTTGAAAATTTAGGATTGTAAAAGAAATTTCGGAGAGAGAAGAAAAACCCTAAAGCGTAAAGGAACGTCTGAATTGGGAATTTGGGAGTCAATGGATGGATTAAAAGGGGGATTAGGTTTCAGGGGCGATAGCCATTGGGCAAGTTGGGCCCTTTGTCGCCATGTGTGACACTCTGCTCATGTAATCACTCTGTGTGTGTGTCAAGAGGGACAAATTCTGTTTTTAGAATTTCACAAAATTGTGAAATAGATGATATAATATTATTTGGATAATATAAACAAAAATATCCGTTATTTTATATGTAATTTACAGACAAATATACTTTCTTATATAATTATATTCAGAAAAACTCATAAATCATTTTTGTTTGTATGGAAAATGAAATATAATAGTTTTTACCTATTGATTTAAAAAAAAAAAAAAAAATCAGCAAAATCCTAATAATTAGTTTAGTTGAAATGATATAACAATTATAAATGACATAGGTATTACATGTCATTTGTTGATCTCTTATATAATGTATCAAAGATGTAAAACTATATAGAAATATAATATGCCTTCTAATATGTTATAAGAGGTCAAATTTATGTCATATCATGAGCCATGACACATTTAATTATTGCATCATTTAAATGGAATCGAGTAATAGGTTCTTACCATAAATTTGTTAAAAACCATAGGTAACAAATAATGTGTGTTTTTATGTATTCTACCTTTGTTTTAAAATGTTAAGTTAAAGGAGTGTTTTTTTTAATGTTTTTTTTTTTATCATTTATAACATAGTAATTCAGTTGAATAATAAAAACACATTTTGTATTTTCATCAAATAATAACATACAACCTAATATTGAAGTTGCCGGGCACGTGAGTTTATTACCAATATTATGTTTGATGTAGACATCAAATAAGCAATCTAATTATAATATGATGCACGAAAACATTGCCACAATGGTGTGAAATGTGCTCCTAATTTCTTTTATTTATTTTATAAGTTTTTGTTCTGGATTTATTTTTTTAATCCTCCGTTACATATGCTTGAATTAGTCAAAAACACCAAATCAAATTAAGTTTTTTTTTTCATTGGCAATTGGAGGATGTTCAACGAGGATGGTGGAAGGGATATTGGGATGTCTATGTCATGAAGAATATTTTGAAAGCTTATTTTATAATGTTTAAGTGTAAGTGAAAAATAATATGTGATGTTAAGTTTATACGGAGTGTTTTGATATAAATAAAAGTAGGGAAGGGTAAAGGCTCCAAATAAAATGGCATGGTGCACTAAGCAAAGTTTAGAGGATTAAATAAAAAATATATAACGATGATTTAAGAGTTTGAGTTGAAATTTCATATTTAAGGGGTGTTTGTTTTTTTAATATGTCAAATATTTAT